CACATAGAAGAATACCTGATAATATTATGGAAGAAATTGATAGAAATAATGAGTAAAAATCCTTTATCACGTGATTTTTTTTTAACTGTATTTTTGTAATGAAAGTAATTGAAAATTTTTCTTGAATTTGATACATGGGCGCAGTAATTTGATGGCTTATGGTGTTACGCACTGTACTTGTCGTCAGAATTCCCAGACAGAAATAATACTAATATGGTTATGGCATATGCCGTATCATAATATCAATATACAAATTTTATTAATCAAAATTTAAATACTAAGATTTGTTTGGGTACTGAAGTAAAAATTAAATATACAAATTTATTTATATTATTAAAATAATAAACATTCTAATTCTCCAATAAAAAAATTACTCATTACTCTAACAAAAATTGCTTCAAAATTCATCAATAGCTATAATAATAAATATAAATTAAATAAAAATATCAAGATAAAATTTAATACAATATTTAATAATCTACCCAAACTTAATACCTAATGTTAAATTATCTTCATTTTTAAGCTCCTCATTAATTTTATTCAACACTAATGAGATTTCTTTATTCAAAATAGTAGTTTAGGGTGTGGTTTTTCTCAGAGGATTATATCCAAAACACAAACTTTTTGCAAAATCCACAAAGAAAGGATGGCTTATAGTAGAAAATGGGATACCACAATATATAAAAATCGAACTTAAAATAAATGAATAGATGAGTAAGTCAATTGACAAATATATTATATAATATACATTTATATATAACTGTTCACCTAATGCTTGATTGATTCTCTCCCTCTTATTTGCAGAAGAATCAAAATAATTGGTGATTGATGAATTAGACGAATTTACTCTTTGCATTTTATTAAGAGGTGAAGATTGCTCTGCTAGTATTTTCATGTATTCAAATTTTACATCAGTTGGTACTGCACAACAACGCAAAGCTAGATTTCCTTTTAAAATTTCAGTTTTCCCCCTAGGCCAAGCTTTTATGCAATAATGACATTTAGCAGAGAAGTGACCATTTTCCTATTGATTCTTTAATAAAATGGTCCCAAAACCATTGTTTCTTCGCGACCTTTTTTGTTTCTTTGATTATTACTTGTTATAACTGACCCAACAGAACTTATGGAACTCATTTTTTCCTTTAATAATTAAAATATATTATTATTGTTACTATTAACAATTATTTTGCATTTGAGGAATTGATAAAAAATTATTCTTTACCACTATTAGAATTCTTATCTATATATTATGTTATATTTAATTAATTAATAAAACGTACTGCTTAATAATTAAAAGAATGTAAAGATTTTTTTATCTATATATTTTATTTAGTATTATGATTATGGTATTTATTTACAGTATTATGACATCTACGGCATCACGGCATTACAGAATTACGGAATTACGGTTTACGGCTTTTACGACTTTAGATTCTCACACCAAATATTATTAATGAATTGTTATTTTGACCTCCAATTGACATACTGTGAAATGCAATAAGATTATCTGCTGTTAATAGATTCCATGCTGGATTTTTTAGATCAAAGTTTACTGATACATCCAAATACAATATCTCAGTTGTGTCAATGCCATCAATAAACTCATCAATACTCTGATCATCAACTACAGGTAATAATCTACCTCCATAAACATACAAACTTTTTTTGAAAGAGAAATAATTAAAAAATATTTTTGAAAATAATTTTTCAAGTGTATGTATTTAACTTACTATTTTTCACCCACTAATGTAGCTGCATGACCCCTATTATTATTATTTTATCATCATTATCATGATTGTTATTATTATTGTTATAAACAAAATATTATCTTGTCCCTTACCATCTTTTTGTAACCGGATCACAATTGACCAATAAAGAACCATTTAACAAAATTATTGATAAAATAACGATAAAATATTTTATCAATAATGATTTATTAAATAGATTATAATCAATTTTAAAAATCATATTAATATTCGTTATCATTGTGATTATTATTATATTATTAGGAAATTAATATGGTTAGTTTCTTTAAAAAATTATATTTACAAAAAATACATATTATAAATATATTTAAATTTTTAAATATTAAAAAATCCAAATTAGTTTTTTTTATAAATTTATTATTCACTTTACTGATTTATATTTATTTTTTTGATGAATCACATGTTATACAAATTCAATTCTGTCCTAAAAATAGTCATACGAATATTAATTATCAATATGGAGATATTAATCTGAAATTGTAGTTTCAAATTATCAAATCATTCATTTTCGTTTAAATCATTTAAATCAAAGATGAACTTATTATTATTATTATGTTTTTATTTTGTTGACAAAACAAAACATATTAAAAAATGTGATCTTCAATAGAACCTAAATAGTTATATTAATTCGTATAAGATCGACAGGGCCAAGTTTTTTCACAAAACCCATAATTTACTATCTCGTGGTGTCCTTGTACCAAAACAACTATACCATATAGTATAGGAATGAAAAGTTGAAGTCAAGCTCAATAATGTTTTTTAGTTCATGTTGTTAAACAGATTCAAACAGACAGATTCAAAACCTTGTTTTGTTATGAGGTAGGCGAAGAATCCGTAACTTGTGAAACAGCTTCTGCTGCAATTAATATGTATAAAAAAATTACTAACAAGAAGGTTTTTTTGCATAGACATATATATACATTAGTCATTCATATTTAAAAACTTGCTAATTTTACAATGATAACCAGTAATTCAAATTAGTAATATAAAGAATACCCAATGGTAAGACAGTTATGCTGTTGGGTTGAGTAAAATATCCTTTTATACAACTATATGATTTTTATGGTTAAAAAAAACAACTTCAAAAGAAATTTTAAATATATAAAAATAAAAAAAAGAAGCAAATTAGAAAAATTAATCATAAAAACACACGCCGCAATTTTATTGGAGGATTGAAATCAATTCGGCCAACATATATAGAAATAATTAATAACAATGATGGTAATTCGAATTAGCAAAAAACCAGACGTTTCAATACTAACGCTAATGCTAATATATACAAGATCAAAAAATTTGAAACGTAATTGTGTTTGTGGAATTGTTATACAACATGCAAAAAAAAAATCTATAAAAAAAAAAATATGTAGGCAGTCGTTATGTTGATCGATTTTCTATAATTGGGCTGACAATGTTCTATTGGCGTTTTTCATTGCAGTAATTATTCACCTACGGATAGTTTGGAGTTTTGGAATCTCATTTTTTATCAACTTGACTTTCTTCAACTTTTCCAACATCGTCTAGTTTCGTCAAAAAGTTAATTCGAGTGGTTGGGGCTAATAATTGGGTATTTTCAATTTTATTTCCTGCGAAGCAGGGTATATACAAGGGTTTTCCATAGTTATATTCTGTTGCACAGGAAATAACTAGTTTATTTCTTGGCTTTCAAAAAAAATGATGCGACTATTATTAGTAAGCGTTACTAATTCTACTACATTAGAGAAAAGATTGGATATGGTGAAGTATTAGTTTAGAGAGTGACTGAGGAAGCTGGAATATATTTTTTTCACAGCCACAAAGAAAGGATGGCTTATAGTAGAAAATGGGATACCACAATATATAAAAATCGAACTTAAAATAAATGAATAGATGAGTAAGTCAATTGACAAATATATTATATAATATACATTTATATATAACTGTTCACCTAATGCTTGATTGATTCTCTCCCTCTTATTTGCAGAAGAATCAAAATAATTGGTGATTGATGAATTAGACGAATTTACTCTTTGCATTTTATTAAGAGGTGAAGATTGCTCTGCTAGTATTTTCATGTATTCAAATTTTACATCAGTTGGTACTGCACAACAACGCAAAGCTAGATTTCCTTTTAAAATTTCAGTTTTCCCCCTAGGCCAAGCTTTTATGCAATAATGACATTTAGCAGAGAAGTGACCATTTTCCTATTGATTCTTTAATAAAATGGTCCCAAAACCATTGTTTCTTCGCGACCTTTTTTGTTTCTTTGATTATTACTTGTTATAACTGACCCAACAGAACTTATGGAACTCATTTTTTCCTTTAATAATTAAAATATATTATTATTGTTACTATTAACAATTATTTTGCATTTGAGGAATTGATAAAAAATTATTCTTTACCACTATTAGAATTCTTATCTATATATTATGTTATATTTAATTAATTAATAAAACGTACTGCTTAATAATTAAAAGAATGTAAAGATTTTTTTATCTATATATTTTATTTAGTATTATGATTATGGTATTTATTTACAGTATTATGACATCTACGGCATCACGGCATTACAGAATTACGGAATTACGGTTTACGGCTTTTACGACTTTAGATTCTCATGCCAAAATTTATTTACGGCTTATACGTAATGCCTAATTTGCCGTAATTCGAGAATTCCGACGACAAGTGTACTTATAACAATATGTGGTTCATTTGGTAAAATAAAAGTTTTTTTGTTGATAAACCGATAAAAAAAAATGTATAGCTCTGGTCAGATACTTGATAGTGTTGGCTGAAATTAAAAAATTCCAAATTTTTATGTTATAAACTTCTTGAAATCTCAGCTTCCTACGTATAAAAGTTTTCAAGAAACATTCCAAGCCTTTAATATTTTGATATAATAATCTATGAAATTTACTTTATACATACATAAAAAGAATAAAGTTTGTAATACCAAAACATCGTGCTTTATTATTTGTTAAACATTGTCAACTGACGATTTTTTACCATTTTTGCATCACCAATCACTAAGAATTCTCTGCTTCATTCGCGGATCGTCAATTAAAAAGAAACAAAATGAATATTAACACATTAAATAAACATTTAATTATTAAATTAAATGGATCTGATATTGAGGATTTTAATTTTGAGAATGCATATGAACATTGGGCAAATAAAAACAGTAGAAGAATTTTTTTTTATAAGTAATTTTGTAATTTTAAAAAATTTTTTTAATTTGGATATGCGCAAAAAATTCTTGCAGATCGAATTTCGAACACTGGTTCATAACAAAAAAACTTTTATTTTACCAAATGAACCAATAAAATAACTGCAAAAGAATTTTAAAGTAGCATTCAACAATCTTGAAAGAATTCTAAGGTTGTTCTTTATACTTTTTGTGTAGACATGAGAGTTGACATGTCATGTGAGGACAGTAAGATTTGGAAATTATTAATAACAATTAGCACCAAAATTTTATATTAAAATGTTGATCATTTCTCTGATTCATTCATAAATCAGCAATTAATATACTAGATTTTGGTTTCTATAATTCTATTAATTTAAAAAGATGCTACTGTAACTGTTGCATTTCCATTCTCTAAAAAAATTGCAAGCACCTATTAGCAAGTTGATAAAGAAAACTAAGTTTTTCAGTTCAAAGATTTGGAAGAAAAGAATGGTGAATAATAATAATCACTACCCTGAGCTTCTCTATTCATTTGCACAATCATTAGTGCTGCAAATCTCCAAGAGCATTTTGTATGATGTTTGCTTAAGTCATTGAATTATAATTTTCAATCAGAAATGAATATTTGCAGGACAAACTCTAATCACCTCAATATAAAAAATGAAGAATGGGTAAATGATTTAGTTAAGAAGAAACTGGCTCTGAAATATCTGCTGTTGGAGGAAAATTATAACTTAGCTTATAATGCTAGTCAATTGAAATGTACATAAAAGCCACAATTATGCTCACTTTGTTACCTTGAGAAAAACAGCTCTGATAGGTAGTCAAAAGAAGAAGATACAAGAGATTAAGAAAGGAAGGAAATCATGCATTGCATACCTTTTTGTAATTTGTTGTGAAACAAATTTGTATAGTCCGCGGCAAACCATTTAAGTAAATATATATGTCACGATAACAGGAGGGAACGTCCTATATAAGGAATGGATTTTCACAATTGATTTCAATTTTTTTTATACAGTTTAAAATACTT